ATATATTTATTATATATATTAATAGTTTAATGTTATTATTCTATAACATATTCTATATATATTTTATATTTTATAATAATATTCAATTTTATATTTACATAATTATTTAAAAATTTATGATTACAAATTTATTTTTGAAAATTAAATTTTTTATTTTTTATAAATGCAAGATTTATTTGTAATAACGTAATTTATATATTTGAACAATATATAATGTATAATATATTAACAACGGAATTTATATGATTTGAACAATATCTAATATACAGTTATAATATGTAGCAAAAAATATTATACAAGAATGAAACAGATGCGAATCAGAAACATGTTCTAATTTGAATAAAAATATTATATTAATTATAACACAATTATACTTAAACATTTGACAAAAAATTTGAAAATGAATCATAAAACATTCAGTCTTAATACATTTATGTATCATTTTTTTGTAAAATCAAAATCGAAATCATAATCATACATGAATATATTGAAAATTACAAGACAACAAAATAATAGAAATGATAATACTAATATAAACATAATATTTCTAAGTTTTTAATTTATTTTGTTGCTGAGATCGTCTAGCTTTTATTCTTGCTTGCAAAGTAAGAAGGAGTCCTGCGAGAACATCATGATTAGGCAATTTCTTGGCAAATAATAGACGTTTTACTGAATCATCATAAGTTAATAAAGCAACCATATTTTGTAATAAAAATCCCTGACAGTATTCCAAAAGTTGCATAGCATTGTAAACCTGAAAATAATTATTTAAAAAAAAGTTATAATATTATACATATATTACAAACACAGAATATTTAAATAAAATACCTTTGCATGAATGTACATAGAAACGATATTATCAAGATCAACCATTGAAGAACATTGTGCCTCACAGTACCTAAGTAAACCATCTAATTGAAAGAAGTTCGCGGCAGCCATTAATTCCAAAACGTCACTTTGATTAACTTCTAATTTAGCACAACCACCATGATATAAAAACTCCATAACCATCTAAATATTAAAATACAAATTTAAATTTTAAATAGTTAAAATTTTTTAATTTTTTTTAAAATACTACATACTTGAAAAATATGATAACGAATATCGTTAATTTGTACAATAGGAGGATTTCCCTCACATAATTTCGAACTTAACATATTCCTAAATCTCGGTGATGATGTGACCAAAACAATTTTATGACCATAGAAAACTCTGCCTTCTACTCTGAATTGTACATCGCTTAATTCTGGATTATTTACAAACTTAGGATCTATCCTAGATCCACTAGAAAGTGTTGTATCTCGAATGGGTTTTATTGGTTCCCATCCAAAACATGTACAAAAAATATCTGCGAGAAGAAGCGTCGTACCTTCTTTCTGTAGAAAAAATACAAATCAAAAAATATAAAAAAATATTTTTTATTGTAATTTTTTTAAAATCAAATTGAATTATGACTTACCTTACTATATCTAAAAATATTGAATAATAAAGGAAGACATTCTTGTACGAATTGTGTTGAATAATCATCTGGACATACTTGAAGAAAATCTTGAAGCAATTGATCTATTATAGAATCTAATCTCATTTCATGAGCTGTTGCTAAACTATGCATCCAACAATGTAACGTCCAACCCACTTTTAATCCACGAAGTTCCATTGTAATATCTGCAGAATTTTAAATAGAATTCTTTATATAGATATATTTAAAATTTTTTTTTCAAATAATCATTTTCAAATTTGTTTTACCTAAATGGTTGCTTTCCGCACTATGATACATTGCTTCTTGTAAAGCTTTATTTTGAACTTTATTAAAAACTGGTTCTTTTCCTTCTTTTCTATTTCCTCTTCCGTCTACAGTTTGTTGTTGTGGACTAGTATTGGCACTACCTTCTGCCAAAATTTCTTCTAATGACAATACTTCTTTTTCTCCTCGTTTGGCGGAGAAATTCAATGGATGAGATAACAATTGATGTAGACAATTCCTTTGACCATGAACTGTTGCTACTGATATTGCACTATAAATATATAAATTAATTTTATTGTTTTAGTTACTTAAAAATTTTTTTTATATAGGATGAAATGATGATCTTTTTAAAAATTATTTAAAATATTCCTATTTTGATTCCTCAAAATCAAAAACTATTCATTTGATTAAAATTTTATTAAGATAAACAAATATATTTTACTTGCCTATAACAACCACGTTGAGCTGAACCAGAATATGAAAATGAATCTTTTATCAAAGTTGATAAAAATGGTTGGGCTCCATGAGCCAAAAGTAATGCTACCATTTCAGAGTTACCAGATGCTGTAGCTGCTTGCAATGGTGTAACTGTGGATTTATCTTCGCTTAATTTAGCACCACCTTCAACAGTTGCACCTCTTTCTAATAATATTCTAGCAATGTTACAATGTCCTAATAATGCTGTGTAAGTTAAAGCAGTCCAATGTTGCGTTTCTGCATTGAATCCAGATTGATTACAGCATATGTTATTAGAAATATTATTGGATATGCTTGGTGAACTGGAAGACGAATTTGGAGACTGCATATTTTTTCCTGGAGTCATTATAGCAGATGATGCAACTGGAGTTCTAACATTTGATATATTTGGAGTAACTGGTGTTTTGGAAGGTGTATTTGCTGATTGTCCAGTAGTTGGAGGTGGACTTTCAATATTCAAATCAACGCCAGCATCTAATAATGCTAGAACAGCTGTTTCATCATTATTTATACATGCTATCATTAATGCAGTAAAACCACTATCGTTCACAGTATTAAGTTTTGTTGATGGCAACAAAGGTATAGCTTGAGCTATTAGATCTGTACGACCACTTGTTAACATTTTGAATGCCATATCCATGGTTAAAAGACGAACATATTCAGAGTCATCTATACGTTTCAAACACATTGAAACTTCCTCGAAACTATGAAAAAAATTGAACATTTATTATGAAATATTTTAATAGAAAGTATTTTTTAATGAAGAAAGTAATAAACATATATAGAAAAATAAAAATAAATATAGAAATTAATAAAATTTAATAAAATTTAACTTTAATAATACAAATTTAATTGAAATTAAATTTTAAAATATAAATATATACAAGAATATATTACCATATTGGTCTGACGGGACAATCTACACCAGGCAATAACAATCTGGCAGCTTGATTAATATCATCTTGATCTACAACTAGTCCATGTCTATGTTCTGCATGAGCGGTCGCAACTCTTAGCCATTCGACTAGCGGTGGAAGTACAACGTATGCTCGTTCATACGCAAGCTCTTGTATTCCAGAACCTCGTTCACCATGTTCTAACTGTATAAATACTGCTTCATTACTTTATATTTAAAAGACAAAGCCAATAGTCAAGGGAGTAGATAAGGATCAAGTAGGCAAACCTGTGAACACCTCATGTAATAAAAGAGAGCGTTCAATGCCTTTGTTGTCAAGGGTATAGTTGAACGTCCAGCTTGCGCCACTTTCGAGATCAAATCTATTAGTTCCGATATCGATCCTACACAGGTGGTTAAAAGTGATGGTTCTAACGTTGATCCCGCTGCATCTCTTCCGCTACGGGATGATGATGAAGAATTTAGAGAACTGACACTGGCCCAACGTGGCATGGCAAGTGCACCTATAAAAATATTATACTATATCATACTAATTATATTATATTATGTTATATATTATATTATAAATTAATAATACAATATATAGAAATATAAAAAAAAAATATTCATGTATAAAATATTAAAAATATTATTTTTTATTCACATCATCAATAAATTTATTTTTAATAAATTTAGTTTTAAAAAAAATTAAAAAAAAAAAAATAAAATAGAATACTTTCATTGAAGTTAAGCGCAATAATATGATAGATATAAAATTTTATTATTATTCTAAAATTTTGTTTCTTTGAATTCCAACAAAATTTATTATATATTTAAAAAGTTTTAAAATAAAACGGAAAAATTTTTTAAGCTTAACTAATACTTATCTTAGATTAATAAGATTTTTAAGTCAATTTTAAATAAATCGCTTTTTATTTTTTTTTAATAAATTTTTCTAATATATTTATATTATTTTTTAGCAACTAT